TATTTCAAAGAAGCCCACAAGGGCAGAACCAAATAAGCCTGTAGACTAACAGCGCCTCCGAGGCCAAAGAAACAACCTGCAAAACGAGAAACGTGACCGAACAAGCAAGTGCCACATTTCCTTGACCCAAACAGCTCAGCAACATTCTATAATTAAAAGCAGTATATAAGGAAAATAACAGGTAGACACGAAACAAAGGCAAACCCCCGCAGTAACCCCGCCCCCTGGAGCCCAGAAGGGACTCAGCTACCATTGGCCAGCAGCAAGGCTGACCAAGTCAACGGATTTGACTAGTCCTGCCCGGCCACCGTTCAGCCCGAGCTAGGGTGCTCGTTGTCCCGCCGACACCTGCGTTGGGCTCAGTCCCGGTCAGCTGAGCCATCATTGCCCCAAATTCCCTATCCACTCTCAAAACTTTTATCTCTCACTTTAAACTCTTTTCCTTTCTTTTGTATTACTAGTAGTAGGAGTATTTCATTTTTTACACATTTACTTCCTATTATGTAGCAAATAAATAAAAAAAAAAATCAAAACAAAAGTATGAGCTACCATTTTTAAAACTCTTTTTAATAAAATTAAAAAATTCGACTGACATTTGAATATTATCTTAATATCTTAATATAATTAAATAGAATTTCATGTCCTCATGTCATATCATATCTTTAAAATTATCCTATTGTTCTCAGGGACGGAGCCAGAAATTATGTTGAGGGGGGGCAAAGAAGTAGGGCTGGATTCAGTGGTGAATCTGAGAATTTTTTTCGGTGGGAGCAAAAAATTAAAAGAAAAGAGAAATTTTGAAAAAAAAAATGAAACACTTAAGTATAACAATAAATATTGTTGGATATAGCGAAAATAAAACATATTAAAATTTTATAAAAATATTTATAACAAAATACGAAACATAATTAATTTGATAAAACAATTCGAATATAAAACACATTATAAATTACACATCCCATTACTAATATAAAGAAAGTTATATATACATCCCATTGTTAATATAAAAAAAAGTGATATATACATCTCATTATTATTATAAAAAAGAAAGACATCTCATTATTAATATATATGTATGGATGCCAAAATTTAATTGGGTTGAAGCAAAGATGTAGAAGATTGTGACCTTGCATTAATATAAAAAAAGTGACATATACATCTCATTATTATTATAAAAAAGAAAGACATCTCATTATTATTAATATATATATATATATATATATATATATATATATATATATATATATATGGATGCCAAAATTTAATTGTGTTGAAGCAAATTGTGACCATGCTAATGCAAGGATTCAAACCCAAGTCATTTCTAAATTCAAACGCAGCTCTTACCACCTTGTCTACTGAAGCTTTTGATTACATAATTTGTTCTGTAATACTTATATAATGTACTGTATATATATATATATATATATATATATATATATATATATATATATATATATATATACAAAGGCTATATATAGGGTAGGGGTGGGAGTGGGAGTGGGGTGAGGGGGGGGGGGGGGCAGCTGCCCCCCTTTGCCTCCGTCCCTGATTGTTCTCATGTCATATAATGTCTTTGGAATTGTTCTATCAAATATATTCACAAAGATATTTGCGACTAAATCATTAACATTTAAATAGAAATGTAAGATTTGTGATTGAGCTTCTGTGGTGGCTGGTTGAGTTGAATTACAAATCATGGCCATTATTTATTTGTCTTCTTTCTCGTTTTCTAACTCAATAGACATAGTACTTCTAGTAAAACAAAAACAAAAAAAAAAAACAAAAAAAACGTTTTTCAAAAAAAAAAAAACAACAACTACAACAACAACAACAAAAACTCAATAGCCATAGTTGATCGAATAACACAGACGTTAGATTTAGATTGCAACTTTAATAATGTGGGTCGGGCGGGACATCATGTCATGTATTCAAGTGGGATATGTTGTCGGAGAAATTAAAGTCATCAATTAATGAAACTGTGGATTACTGCAAATATGGTAAGCAGGACAAATTTCACCAACTACTTATGCTATTCTTATTCTTGAAAATTCCTTTCACTTTTTAAAATGAGTTTAACTTTCACATTATCAAATTTACAAAATTTTCACTATTTATTCTACATTCCTACAATATTCTCTCACTTTCTAAAATGGTTCCACTTTAATATTATATTATTATATTATAAATATAATAACAAAATAATATAATAAATAACTAATAAAAAATAAATAATAAATAAAAAAGTATACAAAAGCTGTCATGGTAGTTTTAACAATCTTTCTAATTAAGAAAGCTTGCTAGACACATGACATAAAAAATTAAACAAAAAAGATATTTAAAATGTCACTTCAATAGCCACATCATTTAGCAAGTGATAGTATTTTTGGATTAGAGATAGCCTTAGTAATGCAATCATAAACTAGGTTTGATGAATCAAATGATTGATTTTTATTTACATCATCGCTAATTGTGACAAAAAATAATTTTATATATGCTTCTTAATTTGTAATATAATGCTCTTAGGACATCCCTAATAGAAGGTGCATTCAAGGTACTTAAAAAGTAAAATCTTGGAAGTCTAATTTTTGACAAATGGGGTGGGTGAATTTTGTAGAACTCTTTCCTCCTGAAAAAAAAAAAAAAAAAAAAACTTTTGTCAGCTTTTTCAAAAAAAATAATAATAATAAAATTAAAGTAAAAGTGAGACGCGAAACGCGTCTCACTGCCAACATTGAGAGTGGCCGCCAGAATTTTTAATTTTTTTTTAATTTTGTTTTTAATCTAGTCGTTATTCAGCTGTTTTTTTTTTTTTAATTTTTTCTATTGAATTTTATTATTAAATTTTTATAGGATAAAATTATAATTTTAAAATTTTTTAAATATTTATAATTTTAAATTTATTTTAATTTTGATATGTATAATTTAAATATAATATAAATAATAATTTTTATAATAATAATAATAAATAATTAATTAATTAAAATATAGTAGTGGTAAAATGGTGGGTCCACAAAAATTTGGGTAAAACTTAAAACTAATGGGAATAAAGAGTTTTTGTGATTGAATGAGATAGTGGATGATGATGTGGATGTTGGGGCCCACAAAAATGTGGAGAAAAATACTCAACTATTGAGGATGCCCTTAGAGTGATTCGTTGATGGAACATTGGTATTACTCAATTATTATTTAAAGAGTGTTAACTAACTTTAAAGCCATTGGCCCTAACTTTTGAATTGAGGTTAAATGTCAAAGATATGATTCTTTTAACTTTTGAATTGAGGTTAAATGTCAAAGATATGATTCTTTTAACCTTCAATTGTATAAAGAAAGGGAAAATTAAAAAGGTCAAATACGTTCTTGAACTTTATTAAAAAATTCAATTAGATATTTAAATTTTTAAAAATTACAACTAAATTCATAAACATGTTATTTTTTAGCATTGAACTCAAAAAACTATTTGTTGATCTATATTGCAGGTCACTAGAGTTTTGATAACCCTCCGACAACTCTAGCGAGCATCTGACCAATTTCAAGGGAAGTATTGAGTTAAACACGACGGCCGGTTCACTTCCTCCTTTGATTAGAGAAGGCATACCAGTTGATCTACCTTCTTCGGCGAATGGATAAGGCAACCAACTTGATCGCCTTTCTCCAAACGTGACTAGATTGTCGTCGTACGTCGATCGTCGATATTTGATCATGTCTCATTAATTTATGACATATATATTCTCATTTATATTACATTACTAAGGAAACGATTATAAATGGATTATTATATTTAGCTCTTAAAATTCAAAAGGCCAACGTGGTGTTTTTTTTTTTTTTTTTGAAAATTTATTCGAAACCACAAATTTTAGAACGATATTGCTTACTAGATTATATGTTCAATTCTACGTCAAGTCAGTAATGTTATATTTCTCAGTGAAGCCAACAACCATATACAACTCGATATTATATCGGAGTTGTATGATTGATGTATGAGATGATTCCATAGACGTTACCATTACATATCAACCATGTAAAATATACAAATGAAATTATTTGAACAACTAGGCACCACATAAAAAAAAAAAAAAGCTACAAAACAAATAATAATAATTATTATTATTATTATTTTTTGAGTACTATTATTGACTCTATTACATTGTAATATCTATTCATTTTATTAGTATTATTATTATTGTTATTATTATTATTTCAGGTACATTAGAATGATTGAATGAAAACATTCAAAAAAAAAAAAAATGAAAAGAAGAATGATTGAATGAAAGAACCAAAGTAGAAACCTGCTATTACACTCTATGTTTTTAAGCACATGTTTGTTGTGGCTGATAATCGATTATCAGCCAACATTGTTGAGTGTATACTAAAGGAACTATCATAATCCATCGCTGCCATTCAATTTTGTCACGTCAATTCGAAGCACTTATTTTACTTTAGCCATGGACCCTAATGGAATAAAAATCGTACAGGGTTGGTGTTGTTTGTATTATCGTGAATATGAATCTACTTTATAAGGTTGACCCACGTTGAAAATGACACTATTTTATTATTACGGAGTATTATTATTTTGTGGCCTGTGACCAACTGTAGTGTGATAACACATCTGTTATCATTCTAGATGGGTGGTTATGATCAAATTTCAGTGATGCTCCGTTAATTCTTTAAACTGAAAAAGATTGAGAAAGTATCGAACAAATGCTACATTATAAAGAATTACAAATGTTTCAAAAAAAATAAATTAATATGCAATATATTAAAAATGAACATGTATCAATAATTCATCTTGCTTCCGTGATTATATTTATTATTTAGCGATAAAAGTGGGCTGAAGAAGCGTACAGATTCAATGCTTCAATATCAAGCCCATTCTTAATGGGCCAACCCAATATCTGCAATCTGAGGTTCACGAAGCCATTGGGCCGGTAACTTCGTCTTCTTCTTCCTAATAATCTTAGAGCAATAATTGCTTCTTTTTTTTTTTTTTTTTTTTTTTTTTTTTTCTGGTCAAGTACTCAAGACTCAAGAGAAGAGAAGTAGGCTAGAGCTAAACCCTTCGAAAACCCAGTGAAATGTCTTCTTCCGTCTGCCGCCGTCTCCGTGGCGTGTTCAATGAAGTCTCTAAACCTTCTCCTCCCAAAATCAAACCTTCTTCACCCACCAAACCCGTTTCTTCATTTTCCGCCACCACTGCTGCCACTCCCAAGGAGAAGAAACTCCGAGATTTGGTCGACAAGTTTAAGAGATCTTCAAAGCACCCTTCATTCCGCCGCCGTCACGACACCTATGAAACCGCGGTTCGCCGCCTGGCAGCTGCTCAGAAATTCTCTGACATTGAAGACATCATTGATCACCAAAAGAGATACCCGGAAATCACCAGAGAGAACTTCGTAATCCGTCTCATCTCTCTTTATGGCAAAGCCAGCATGCCCGAACATGCCTTGAAACTGTTCGATGAAATGCCCGAACTGAACTGTAAGCGCACTATCTTTTCTTTCAATGCCCTGTTAACTGCCTACGTCAATGCGAAGAAATTTGATAAAATTAGCGAGCTTTTCAAAGAATTGCCTGAGAAACTTTCAATTGAACCGGATGTTGTATCCTATAATATTGTGATCAAGGCCCTGTGTGAGATGGGGTCTCTAGATTCCGCAGTTTCAGCAATTGATAGCATGGATAAAAATGGGATTGAGCCTAATTTGATTACTTACAATACGGTTTTGGATGCATTGTCCAAAAGCAAGAACCTTTCACTCCTAGAGAAGGTATGGAGCCAGATGGAGAGTAGGAGTGTGGTTCCAAATGTGAGGAGTTTCAATACAAGAATTCGTGGTTTAGTAAACGAAAATCGGTTTCCTGAAGCACTAGAGTTGCTAGAGGAGATGGAGAAAAATGGATTGAAGCCAGATATATTCACTTACAATGTGTTTATTAAAGGTTATGTTGATGATGGGAATTTGGAGGAGGCTAAAATGTGGTATGGAAAGTTGGCAGAAAATGGATGCAGTCCTGATCATGTGACGTTTCGGTTGCTCATTTCTCTAGCTTGTGAGAAAGGCGAATTCTCTTTCGTTCTTGAACTGTGCAAAAAGTCTATCGATCTCGAACAATTTCTTTATGATTCCACACTGCAGAGGGTTGTTGACAAATTGGTTGAGCAATCAATGGTTGAAGAGGCCAAAGAGCTTGTAGAGTTGGGGAATAATTGTTCTCTCCATTATAAGTTGAATTGCTGACCTTTGTTGTAATGAGTTCTTTACTGAATGATCTTAGCTAAATGCTCTAGTGGTAATTTCCACCATTTAAGGATACATTTTCTTTTTAATTGCCAAAAGCTTTCTGTTTCTTTTTCTTGATGATATAGTGCTTCTCCTCAGCACCATTTACCTTAATCTTAATGTTACTTGTAGAAATCTGTCTTGTTTGTTGATTGTTGTGTGCTTGAATTGCAGCATTAATATGTTTGAGCCAGTTTACAGAGTATGTTTGTTTGTTTGCTTGATTTTAATGTGAGAGGTACTAAGTGGATGCATGTAAAAATCCCTAAACAATTTTGATAGATTGGATAATGGCCAAAATTGCAATAGTCCTACAAGGATGGGGAGGGTAAAATTAGCCTAATAAATGATGATTGGGGGATAAATTATTTTTTTACTTAGCCTGTGCTAGGTAGCATCAAAACAGAAAATGTGAAAATAAAACATAAGAAAATACAAGATACTAGATGTATGAAGAAAATACAAAATGGAAATGGGGTTTGGATCAAATAAAAAGAGGTGATCATATAAAAAACGAGGTGAGATTTCGGTCATTCATCGGGTTCAGATGAATGCCTCTGAATAAAGGAATTTTTTTTTAATAAAAAAATGGTGGTATTTTAGTAATTTTTATAATATTATATTACAAAAACTATGGGTGCACAAGCTACGAATGCAAAGAGTAATATAAGTTAAAAAATGAGTAAATATCCAAAATGGTCCCTCGACTATAGCTAAATTCACAAATTGATCCTCAACTTTCAATTTCAACCAATTAAGTCCTTAACTTTGTAATTTTAACACAATTTGGTTCTCTGTCTATTTGATCGTTTGTTGACTGTGATTTTTGAAGATATATATGTAATTTCATGGTCCATCGTCGATTTTTTAAGGTTCTGGTTGCATTTCCAGACCACACTGTTACATTTGAATCCACTGCTGAAAGCAATCTACCAAATCCGGTCGCCTTTCTTCATCCTCCCCTTGGATTCAATGTAGTTGAGTTCGTACCAGAGCGAAGAAGACGACGTGTTTTCGAACTAGTGCAACGTCATCCTGGAGGCCTCCACGTGCTCCGACGAGAGCTGAAGGTTCTTCTGGAGATCGTCGATCATGGTCAACAAACGGTCAAATAGATGAAGGACCAAATCGTGTCAAAATTACAAAGTTAAGGACTTAATTGGTTGAAATTAAAAGTCGAGGACCAATTTTTGAATTTAGCTATAGTTGAGGGATCATTTTGGATATTTACTCTTAAAAAAACACAGTGACTTTTGATAATATTTTCTAACTTTGAAGTGCACAAATTTTACACTACAAATAATATTTATAAGTGTAGAAAAATTTTATCTTTCTTTTAGAATCGTTGATCTGAACAAATAAACAGTTCAAATCTCAACGCATATTCTACTTAGGGTTCTCTTTTCATTTAATCTAGATCATATCCTCTATATATATTGTGTGCATCCATTGTTCAAACATTTCCCAATATTTCGCAAGTATGATGTCGTACGTGTCCATACAAGGACCACGAAATAAATTGTTTTTATTTAGTCAAGGGCATCTTCAATAGGAAGGAAAGTGATGCGAAGAGTTGGGAGGAGGGGAGATGCTTGGAAAAGTCATAGCTCATATGGCATGTGCAGGCAGGTATCAAATTATCAATGCATGTATGTAGCAAAAATAAGATGTTAGTTTGGGTGTTATATGTTGTATTCAGGGATTGGAGTTATGATACGCTGCAAAATGTAATATGTGATAACTAGTAACTAGACACTAATCTTAAGAAATGCACAAGAAGCTAAACAAATCATAATGAGGTTGAGGCAATGGTAACGGTAACTAAACAAAATAAGACAAACACATATTAACAAGATATAAACACGAAATAAAGAAATAAGACTTAAAGCTATGGAGCATTATCATCTAGATGCTTTAACAACCTATGAGATTAGGAAGAACAAGTAACCAAGGAATCAATCGGGAATGCACATAGGTATTCTAGTCTAAAGCCACTTCCATGAGCAAATAAACAAGGATTAGAACAAGGAATTGTCTCACTCTCATCATGGTGTACCAATTCCAAGTCTATCAAGCACACAAAGTATCTTAAACTCCCAATTTCTCCTATTTTCATAAAAGCAAATTGGGTTTATGCAAGGGCTGGCTTGAATTCATCACCCAACTCTTGTTGAGGCAAGGAATCCTCCAAATACATGCCAATGAATGTGTACATCAAATATTAACAAGATATAAACACAAAATATTTACAAACACATGAACCCTACGTTAGAGCTTTCCCCTTTTTGTAATAATCACAAATTAAGCATCAAGATAGATAAAACCCCTAACTCAAGTCTAAAAACTAACTACTCATGATTAAATAGTATAAGGAACACAAAAACACAATTAATAAACATAAATCTTGCAAAATAAAGAGATAAAAGAAAGAATAACTTATGTATTAAAAATGAAAAAAACAATCTTGAAATTCAAGCTTTAAATCCAAGATTACAAGCTTCGAAAATGTTGTAGAACCTCTAATATAACCTAAAAATATGAAAGGAAATGAAGGAGATCAAAGTGGCTAGGTTTAACCATGGGTCAAAATCGTGAAAATAAAGCTCAATTTGAGCTTAAATAAGTGGTAGAGCAGGTAGGGACGGGCATACGCCAGGGGGTACGCCACCTGCTTCATTTTTGAGATTTTGAATAGGTTGAGGGACGAGCGTACGCAAAGGGATACGCACATTCCAGTGAGCACTAAAAAATGGCTAGGATTTGTGTACACCTATAGGTCGGCTGGAATATGATAACAAAACTTCTCGCGAAAGTGTGCACAAATGTTAGTTATCTATCTAATAAATTTAATAGTTGAAAAATAAAGAATATAAGGGGGGAGGGGGGAGGGGGGGGGGGAGTGAGAGAGAGTGGTGGTTAATTTCATAAATATACAAATATTCAAAGTTTATATATTTATGAAATTGACAACACCATTTTTTTAATTTCCTAACAATTAATCATTTTAAATGGATAGATCAAATTAATTCAAATTTCTCACGAAGAGCCTAGTTCTCATTCTTAAGGGACTGTACTGGGCTTGGACCAAAGGCATTAGAAAACTTGAGAACTGAAGTGATATGATTGTAAAGAAGCAATTGATTGGATCAATGATATTAATTTGGAAGCAAGTGATTGGATCAATGATATTAGTTGCTCTGTTGGCCATACCAGACAAACTCTTGTGAAATGAAACAAGTGGCTGAAAAAATATTGGAAAATCAATATATGCAATGTCCTTGGTGAAGAAAACCAAGCTACGAACTATTTAGAATTTAACTTTTAGTCAATAATTGAATTAAATTAGGAATACCTCCTCCAAACCTCTTACCAATTCTTAAATATGATGTTATAGGCATTCCTTTATCACAAAACATGATTGCTAAGGCCTAATGTTCTTTCATATGGGGTCTTCCCTCCCTCTTCATAAAAAGAGAAAAAAAAAAAAAAAAAAAAAACCCACACTTTTACATAATCAAGTAAATACGCGGACGGCAAAGTACAATGCATTTGTCCATAGTCAAGCGGGATCCGACCAATGAATCATCTTAGGATTTACATTGAATGGCACACATGCAAATACCATCCTATTCGTAGGTTGTCTACAATGAATTCAATAGGCATAGTGTAAAATACTTCACCACGTACCATATATAATAATAATAGTACTATTTGAGTATAAAGCACGCAAGATATATTATATATAAAAAATAGACATAGATGTAGTCAATGAAGTATAACTATTACTAAGTGTTTAAAATCATGAGACACCCCTTTTTATGAAGCAATCAAAGTATGTATCACCAAAAACATAAAATGAAGTGGACCTTATATGTATTTGTACCATAAAATAGTTACTTAAAATGTCAATTTTATACTATTTTTTCAACAATATTAAAACAAAAAGGTTGAATATTGTCAATAATTAATCTTATGATAATTGATAATTACGCAATCATGCATGCATGACTTTTCAATTATTTTAGAAGCCGTCGGCGCCCAATCGTTATGCTGTGGAACTGTACGTCGTGTCCACCTTGCAAGGTGGACACGATTCTATGTTCATAAACTGAACTATATGTTCATAATTATAAAGCTACATATTCATAATTTTTGAACTTCATATTCATAATTATTGAACTCTATATTCATAATTACAAAACTTTATGTTCATAATTACTGAACTATATGTTCATAATTATAAAGCTATATTCATAATTTTTAAACTTTATATTCACAATTATTGAATCTCAATATTCATAATTACATAACTATATGTTCATAATTATGTTCAGAACTCTATGTTCATAATTTTTGATCTATATATTCATAATTATAAACAGTTTTGGAACTGTGTCCACCTTGCAAGGTGGACACGGTTCCACATCATAATTTACCGTCGGCGCCTACTTTACGTGACTGCAAAATTGCAATCATTATTATATGGATCATAAATAAATAATACTTATTTAATATATTAAAAGTCCATTATTTGTGTACGTAAAATACATTTTTTTAAAGTACATTATTTTATATATACTATCAAATATAAACTTCATGTTCCACGCAGCTATGTAGACCATTGTTCACACAATTGCATATACTATTATACTCTAGTCCCTCTATATATAGCCCACTCTACGATACTCTTGGATTCATAAGCCATCTGCCTATTAGCGCTAAGTGAAATCGTATTCTTATTATTACTTAGTCTGTAGGTCCATTTTCCAAAATAAGTAGAAATGTATAATGGTAATAGGAGATCAGGGAATTATAAACCAAGCATCTGGGATGATGATTATGTGCAATCTCGAACCGCTATCTACACTGTAAGCTAAGCTACATATATAAAATTAAGACTTTATATTAATGTTATGTTTTAATTTCTTTTCCATAGGGTACCGACCTATTCCTCTCCTCGTACTGATACATGTCAGATGGCGCTTTTCATTTTCTTTTTCATCAGGGAAAAGAGTTCTCTAAACGGGCAGCTGAGCTAAAAGAAGGTGTGAGGAAAATGGTGGAGGAAAAAATGGATCCATTGGAAAAGCTTGAGCTTGTGGATCTCCTGCAAAGACTGGGCGTATCCTATCATTTTGAGGATGAAA